ACCAGTGACTTATGCTGCAATGAGGAGTGCGTGACTTAATTAGCTGGTCAGGCCAACACCCAGGATTGACATCTCAGATATGCTTTATTTTCCACATATCATGCAGTAGCTCTGAAGTTACACTTTACTAAATTTGCAGGGAGTAAAATACATGCTATACTGAATTTGCAAATTTAGGGATTTATGAAGATTTTGCAATAGTTAGTTCTTTAATACTATACTTAATTAGTTAACATATTTAAATACTTAAATACTGTCTATAAGGAAGAGCAGGGTTGCTTGCTGAAGATTCTGCCACAGAAAATTTTTAAAAAATTAAAAATTGTCTTTCATCACAAATAATTTTTGATGAACAAATTTTGTTTGATCTAAGACTATCACAAGAATAGCTGTATCTTCTGCTTTGTATACAATTACAAGCAAATGGGAAAGTACACTTATAAAACACAGATCATAAAGTATTCTAAAAAAGAGAACAATTTATATTTTATTTTAAACTAATAGTAATATGGAAATGACATCTTTCTAATCAGGATTAATAGGAAATTTAAAATTGTTAAATTTCCCATCAGTGTCGACAAATATGAAGTACTCATAGACAAAGGCTAACTCTCATTCGCATGGGAGTGATAGAAAACTATCTAATTTTTAAATTTTAGTTAGCAAATAAGAGAATCACTGAATAACATCAGATTGATGGTAACTTTTACCTGGTCTGTAGAGATATAAAAATAATATGAACATTATATAATAAATCTTTTAAACGGACTATTTGCCTAAGTTAACCACAATTTGATTGAACCACATGTGGCCAACTCAAAGAAGTTCCACTGTAATTTTATAGTATCTTTGTATCTTAGAAATTTGGTGTTCATATACGTAAACAAGTAATTTTTTAGTTTAATAATGTCTGCCAACTAATAGAATACTTCCTTCCGCCTTTAGATTAAAAAGTGGACATTGTATGTGAGTTTATATTTCATTATGATTTAACTTGTCCTAAGAACCTTTACTTTATTAACAGTTGGATACACTGGATACTTAAAGTAGGTTGTTTTTTTTTTAATGCTGTAGGTTAATTTTAGAATGCAATTCCTACTTATCAAATACATTTAGGAAATATAGCTCTATTAAGGAAATGACAAAGATAACAAGAGATGAGAGTAATTCATCCTAAGGTGGATTTTTATATCTGCAGTATAAAATCAAGTCACTGGTACTGTTGTTTTTCCCTGTACACTTATATGTAAAGTCCAGTAATAATTGTTTACTCATTGAATTGATAAAAATAAAGAATGTTGACTCAAAGAAAAGAACTTAAAATAAGAACAAGCATTTGCAAGAGACAATCTAATCCATACCAACCTCTGTGGTAGGCAAAATCTAGTAAACATTTACAAATATTCTGGTAGTTAGAATTATCCTCCTTTTACTCTGGATAGCACTAGCCTTTCTTATGAGGCTAGAGACATCATCTTGCTAGCAGGCTACACCAATGGTTCTTTTAGAGATAAACTTGTAATTTTTTTTAATATTGCTTGACTTTTGTGAATGAGCTCTGCAGGAAAACGGGCTTACTGTTCTCTGTGGCACACATATTGACAAGTCATTTCTAACCTCTGAGATACAAGGGGGAATAGAGAATGATTTGAGGAGTCAAGATGAATCATAGAGGAAGATTTCTTTCACTCAGCTTACCATCATACTGTGCATTTCTTTATCTATTTAAAAATTACCTTGTGACCTCTAGTAATCGTCTACTCTCAGTCACGCACATAAATGAGACTGTTATTCTCACTTAGTGTTATTCTCATTCAAAAGTAATTTTGACTTTTAGAGGACAAATTAAGGTATTCCCAGGAATATCAGGTTAGTTTTAATCTTTAAATATGGCCTAAATGGAGCAAATGTGTGTTTGTGATTGTGTGTGTCTTGAGTATATCTATTTTAAAATTAATTATAAGTTATCGAACATCTTTAATGGAATGATTTTCTGTGGTAAGTTCAAGAAAAGTTATTTGAGAAATGCTTGGGAGATTGCTATTCTTTTACATTTTTTCAGTAACATCCCAGCAATAGCTTTGGACTGCTTCAAAAATTATAGTGAGTAATGTTAATCTGCAGTGATTTCCTTATAAATTTAGTCTTATTAAATTTTAGTTTGTTTTTCTAACTTTGTATGTAACTGGCAAGGCATGATTGTATTCAGATGTCAGATTAATTTTCTATAAATTTGTGGCAATATGTGTTGATTTGTTTTGTAATAACATTAAATTACCACAAAGTAGCCCTCGGAGTAGTTTAATTGAGATAAATATCTTGAAAAGATTTGTCTTAAGAACTTTCACTTTATTAACAGTTTGTCTATGTTATAAAATGTCTATGTTTCTAGATATATCTGTATCTATGTATGTATATACAAATAGCATTTGTTCATATTAAAAATGTGGAAATATTATGGTTCAAAAATATGCAAAATGAGACCTAACCAAATAATTTATCATAAAACTTTTAATGCTATCATAATGTAAATTACATTTCATTTCATGCTAGAGAAATCCGTATATGATATAATAACATACCAACTTAATCAAGTTTTGAATTTTTTTCACCGAGAGTTATGCTATATGTAAAATTATATCTAGTTTTCCTTCCATCTTTGGTACATTATGAATATAAAATACATTAAGATTTTCTTAAATGCATAAAATTAGTGTGTCTATTTAAAGTAATAAAAAGTACAACAATAATTTTTTTCAATGTTATTTCAAATATCCTTAGCAAAAACTGAAGGGATAAAACAGAAGTAAAATAGATTTTTAATATTTTTTAATTGAGAGCCATTGTCATTTGATATTTTAGTTTGGAAATTTTAAAGCTACATTCAGTAATTAATAATAGAAACCCAATTGCTTTATATAATAACCTTTTACTCATTTAAAAAAACCATTGTATTTATTAGTCTTGTAATATTCTTGAGAATTCCATAGATATAGTTATTACCAACTATGTGTAAGTATGAAAGATTAAAATGATTTGCTCAATGTCCGAACATTAAGGATAAAGTTAAACCTAATAACTTGGCTTTTCTCATTTCTTGACAAATACCTTAGCTAAGTGATTGGGCTATTTTTTAAAGGTAACATTTCTCAAAGACAATGATTTTTGTGAACAGTAATAGTGCTTTTGTTGATTTATTTTATTTTATTATAATTATTATTTTTTGATTTGTTTTAAAAAAGTGAATGTCTTCTACCCTCTATATTTTGTTTTTGTTTAAACTTTGGAAATCTAATTATTCTGAATTCAGTTTTGAAGTATTTCTTGCAGCTTTATCTCTTATGATTTAGATGGTCATTTTTTTCTATATCAATGATAAATCACTCAAAGGCAGAACATTAATATTAATGTGTTGTTAGAAATTAATACAACATAGAATACTTTTATAAGGACATTACACTTTTATTTAATAAAAGTTTAAGAGGAATTAACAGATTAACCAATTTATAAAACCAAAAACTATATTTCAACTTCTAAATGGATTATAAGATAAGAAGATGCTCGATATTTGAGATGTCTCCTAATGTGAAAGATACATAAAATGAATTTGAATTAGTCTCTGAAAAAATTCTAAGCTTTCTCTGATTTTCAAAACAAATAGAATTAAAAAAGTAATTCACTTGAGTCACTAGTTAGTGTAAAAACGTAACCCACTTTCTCTTGAATCAAAAGATATTTACAATAGTATGTTTGCTGCTGCAAAGCCTTTTGTGGTTACTCCTAATTACATGTTTTTCACTTCAAAGTCTTATAAGGCATATTAGGTACAAATCAACTCAATAAATATTTATTGGGTGAAGGAATTCAGGAAAGTCTATGGGTTTGGAAAAATATATTAAAAAAACACCAGTCTTTGTTATGGCTTTTTCACTTCAGCTAAATGTGGAGCATCTTGCCTTCCTATGTTACTAGATCAAATTTTGAAATTATATATACTGAGCAAATGATGCTATGGGGAATGTGTGGCACTAACATTTTACTTAAAATGCAAAATGATAATCTGTACAAGGGCATTTGATGACCTCAAATTACATTAGTAGTAACATTTTCATTTGATAACTAGATAGCTGGGTAATTAAAAAATGAAATTAAAGCAAAGTCATATCCTAATTTATAAAGACAACGAAAACAAAAGAGCATAGTAAAACTGCATTGAAAAGTAGTTACTACACCACTACAATAAGATCTATTTTCACCTATATAAGGAAAATAAAGGTCAAACCTTGCCCTATGCTTTCTTACTAAAATACTCTAGAAGACCAGATGATAAAGTAAGTCCCAAATCATAAATACAATACAAAATGATTCTATCCCCATGAGTTTTTTGCCAGTCCAAAGTTATTTTAAATGGCATAGGGTGAAAGACAATATGGGAAGATAGTAAGGATTCACCATACAAAGTTTTATTATATGTACTGCCGGAACAAGCACACCTTACAAAGTTTTAAAGATCAAGGTCAGAACCTCACTTCCCTACTCAGGAGCAATTGATTATGGAGCAGAGGCGTATTATATTTTTTGCTACCTGCATTGTCACCACTTTTCTCACCAGGCAAAAGTGGACAGAGTCCTTTAAATGTAGTCCAATTTGGAGCCCAGCATGAAGGATGGTGTGGATCAAGGTTCTTGAGAGAGAAAAGGCTTGATTGTATATTAATCATAAGTTAAGGATCTGCAGCAAGCAGCAGCTTTTATCTTAGAATTCAAGGACATATAGGAGTTGTATTTTGCCCAGTAAACTTGATTCTCAAGGGTCAAATAAGGCCATTCAGCTCAAAAAACAAAACAAAACAAAACAAAAAACAAACACAGCATATAGCCTATTTATTCCCACAAACACAGGGATTTTTCAGTTATCTCTTTAAAAATCGACTCTTCCTTGCATTTATGAAGCAATATGAATACTTTCAGCAATATTTTTCTTCTTTCTTTGTCGCTGACCCAAATTAACTTTTCGATTCACCAACAGAGCTTGAAATGGCACAGTCTCTTTTAGAGTGACACAGACCTCTTTCTCCTTCTGGCAAAATCCTCTGCATGCAAGAAGTTGGAGAGAGCCTTAGTGAGGTGACTATCTGATGTCTCGCTGCTGCTCGCAAAATCATAGTTCTTCAAGAAAGGGCACAAACAGTGTACAATGGCTCGGCGGATGTAGCTGTCAAAGATATAGTAAATGAAAGGGTTGACACAGCTGTTGGCAAATGCTAAGGGCCCACTCACCTCCATGCCCAGCTGGAGAACAGCTGAGGAAAAGTAGAGTTCTTGCTGCAATCCCGAGACAATGCCCAGGAGCTTGAAAATATTGAAGGGCAACCAGGAGACGACAAAGGCTGCCACAACAATAAAGATGATCTTTATGGATTTCCTCAGCTTTTTGTTATGTTTTCCTGACTGCTGGTAATGGATGCACAGCTTCCTTGTGATGCAACAGTAGCAGGTCACAATGCTCACCAAAGGAGCAAAAAAGGTAAAAATTAAGGCCACCAGGGCCCAAGCCAGTTTAATGGAAGTGGCCCTCTTCTCTGCACAGTATGGCTTATTGTTAATCAGGGTGAGCTCCCTGGACAGAAGAGTAGGCAAACCCAGAAGGCAGGAGATAAACCAGACACTGGCACAGACTCCATACGCACAGTCTCTCCTTCTGAATTTCCTGGATATGGTTGGACACACAATGGCCAGGTAGCGATCAATGCTCAGGCAAGTGAGCAAGAAGACACTGCAGTGCATGTTGACTGAGATCAGGTAGGAGCTGCCTTTGCACAGGAAAGAGCCCGTTCTCCACAGTCCTAAAGATGCTTCTTTATCCACCCAGAGAGGCAATGTGACAAGGAAAATGCAGTCAGAGGCAGCTAGGTTCATGATAAAGATGTCGATCAGTCTTCTGCTGCCCCGTTTGCAATGCAATGCACTCATGAGAACGAGGTTCCCCAGCACTCCAATCAGGAACACAGCTGCGTAAAAGATAGGAAGGAAGACAGATGTATAAGGAACATGGGAGTGGATCTCCTCAAAATCAGGATTTTGGCTTGTAGCATAAAAATAATCCAAATAAACTGAGGTTGCTTCTGGGTCCATCGCTGAAGATGAGGTGCCAAATCTGGTAAGTTTCCTTACTTAGGAAGTTTTTGTATGAATTTTAGAAATCTCAGGGCAGCTTCTTTTATATAGTGCCTGCCTCTCCCCCCCATCCTCCCTCCCTTAAAAGATCTTGGGACAAGCATAAAAACAGATTTAAAAAAGCAGTTTCTACCAATCCTCAGAGAGGGCCCACCAGGAACACCACCCTAATTGTTGCTGGGTGGTTGTGGTTGTGGTTTTCTTTATTTGCATTTGCCCAGGAAACTGAGGTGCTCTTTGACTTTTTTCTTCAAGATATTCAATGCTTCTTTAAATCCAGAAATTGAGAAATGAACTTTTTTTCTCACCTACTTTAAAGACACATTTTGCTTTTCTGACTCTGAGAACCCTTTTGATCTAGCCTTCTGTTTCACATATAGAGTATTGTTTCACTTTTAGAACTTTAAGGTAACGATGATGAAGATATTCTTTTTTGTTTACATCATTGGGAAACGTGAAGAAAATAATCTCATTGCGTAAAGTGTAAATTGAAAATTTCCCAAATCATACCAGTCTGCATCTATGGCAAACATAATGATTCCACTTAGGGTATGAGATATTTCCTACTTATTTGGCTCTTTTAATTCATATGTGATCAATTCTGTCTCATTCAATAAGTTTTTAAAAAAATCCTCACAAGGCTGAGAACCCATCTTGTGCTTTTATTATTATTTGAAAAAAAATTTCCACTACAACTAGCACAGCACCTTGAACATAGTAAATGCTTTGGAAATGAGTTTGAGTTGATTAAGAAAACTCATTTTTGTTGTTCAGTATATTTGGCAAGGGTGAACTCATTAGGATTTAACTGCAGGCATTGTTGTTATTTATGTAGCTTATAAACACAAGTTTAAAAATCACAGATTGCTATTTTTCCCTCCTTATCTGCTATTGTAATTCAACCAATGAAACCCTTTATTGGAGTTAACATTCTTAAGAGAGTTTGTCCTAATTAACCATCCAATACTATCCTTCATTAGACTCTAGATGCCCTCTCTTCTTCACATCTCACCTTCGTAGCAGTAAATTTTTAGCTCTTGAGCTATGACTTGTTCTTAAGTACCTCCACACATCAGTGAACTTCACTTTTGGAATTATTGACCTAGCAACAGTCAGACCTATTTTAAGTGATATTATAATGGAGTTTCCAGTATAAGCACTATAAAAAGATTTTTGTTTCATTCAAAACACTTGAGAAATAGGCTAACACCGAAAGGATCCTATCATATATTTTTCTCATCTGTTCTCTTTAATATTAGGAGGACCATAGAAAATTATAACAAATTCTGAAACTGACTCTATTTATTTCAATTCTTTACTGACTGAAGTGGCTCAAGCTTCTCACACTCTTCTCTCCTCTCTGTCCCTCCATCTCATTTCATTGACAAAATTAGCTTCAGGCTGAAATTACGAATGCATGAAAGAATGTATGCTTATAGATGAAAACACAATCGTTAAACATTTGAAGTCTTTTCTACTGAATTTTTACTTCTTCTGTAATTAATATATTAAAAACAATGCTTCTGCCTTCTGTATTTCCTCCTCCTCTCTTTTTCCAGATGTGTTCTAATGTCACCTCAGTCTTAGGCATATGAATTTAGGTCAGGGAAAGATGAGGGCTTCCCTGGTCTGGGGCAGGCCCAGGAAGTCACTTAGTTGTTGGTTTATGGGCCTAGGTCTGCCTTCTTTTGTGTCCCTAGCTGCTCTGTGTTCATGAGGGTTGGAGTGGGGTGGAGCATACTCTTCACTAAGTATAGGCTATGGATGAGAGAAACTAATGTTTTCACAGTTCTGGGATAGAAGTCTTTCCCGCTGGGTAAGCCTTAAATATTTAATAGAATAATTTATTTTGTCGAATAGTTTGAAGTAGGACAATATATACTGGAAAAAGATTGATGTGGTAAATATAGAATATTCAAACACTATATCTATATATGTGCATGTATATTAAAGTACCAATCATATATAAGATTGTAAAGTATATATATGTATTATGTACTTATTTGTAATTGTATTTTAATTGTACTATTAGAATTTTTGCTCTGCAAACAGTAGTTCTTTTGGCATTTGAGAAGATAAGATTGATTCTGGGTCTAAGATATTAAAAAAATTTTTCTTTAGATATAGCTCAAAAATTCTACATAAAAGTATTATAAAATGGAAAAGAGTTCATGCTCATATTCTAGAGGAAAATATCCGGTCTGTAGGCCTTAAATTTTCTTTCAGCATTCAAAATTGTTGGCCTGCTGACATAAACTATCTCAAATAAAGCTGACTTCCTAGGTGAGCTTTAAAGCATCTGGAGACAAAATGATTTTCTTTATCATAATAAAGAAATATAGTGGTTGGCTGTAGAATGCTGCAATATGAGAATATCTAACATGGATCCACAATATCATGGGACCCAAGCAAGAAAACAAATTAAATGTTTTGAGCCAAAAAAGGGAGTAGATAGCATAGTACTGTGCTTTTAATAACTCAAAGATACAAAGCAATTATTATAAGACAGAACCCACAATAAAAGCTGACTAGATAAAGTAGAGGATGTCATCGTTCTAAATAAGCTTAATGCAAAGGTCATTTTTAGGACCTTGAATGCTCTTTGAAATAAATATGAGGATGCTAACAATAAAATGACCAACTACACACAGAGCAAAAACTTAAAATCCATACTGATTACCATAAGCATATGAAAAGGCAGTATGAACAAGGTGATAAGAAAAGAGGGGCAGGGTTGAGAGGGTAGGTAAGATGTAAATATTCATAATTGAATCCCAGAAAAAAAAAAAAATGCTCAACTTTCCTTCCCCATCCCTGGCAAAGATAATTGCTCCCATCTTTGTATTCTTTAAGACCTTATACAGTACTGCTTCTAAAGTGCTTATTACCTCATTTTACATAATTAGTAGTTTTGGTGTCTGACCTTTTGAGCTGGTCATGAGCAACTTAAAGGGGAGACCACCTATTATCTCTCCACTGGCCTCTAACTTTTTTGGACTCTTGAAGCCATTGTTTTGAACCTATGGGTGCCAGACCATATTACCCACATTAAAGTCATCTGGGGTACCCACTAAACTGTAGCTTACTAAACCAAGTCCCAGATCAAATGATTTTCTTTATCATAATAAAGAAATATAGTGGTTGGCTGTAGAATGCTGCAATATGAGAATATCTAACATGGATCCACAATATCATGGGACCCAAGCAAGAAAACAAATTAAATGTTTTGAGCCAAAAAAGGGAGTAGATAGCATAGTACTGTGCTTTTAATAACTCAAAGATACAAAGCAATTATTATAAGACAGAACCCACAATAAAAGCTGACTAGATAAAGTAGAGGATGTCATCGTTCTAAATAAGCTTAATGCAAAGGTCATTTTTAGGACCTTGAATGCTCTTTGAAATAAATATGAGGATGCTAACAATAAAATGACCAACTACACACAGAGCAAAAACTTAAAATCCATACTGATTACCATAAGCATATGAAAAGGCAGTATGAACAAGGTGATAAGAAAAGAGGGGCAGGGTTGAGAGGGTAGGTAAGATGTAAATATTCATAATTGAATCCCAGAAAAAAAAAAAATGCTCAACTTTCCTTCCCCATCCCTGGCAAAGATAATTGCTCCCATCTTTGTATTCTTTAAGACCTTATACAGTACTGCTTCTAAAGTGCTTATTACCTCATTTTACATAATTAGTAGTTTTGGTGTCTGACCTTTTGAGCTGGTCATGAGCAACTTAAAGGGGAGACCACCTATTATCTCTCCACTGGCCTCTAACTTTTTTGGACTCTTGAAGCCATTGTTTTGAACCTATGGGTGCCAGACCATATTACCCACATTAAAGTCATCTGGGGTACCCACTAAACTGTAGCTTACTAAACCAAGTCCCAGATCTACCGAATCAGAATCATTAGGAGTGGAGTTTAAGATTTTATATTTAACAAACATCCAAGGTGATTCTTACACACACTGAACTTTAGAATCACTGTTTTAATTTATTCATCTTAACCAACTTTATATGTTATGCTTTATTATTATTTTGGCTAACTTTTTAAAAAAAGTTTAATAATCACTTCTAAAATTAAACCTCTTAGAAATCTTCTAGCCCGAATCTCACAAAATTTTATAAATTAATTTAGACTGCTGGTCTATCCCTATTCTGTGTCCCAGTTCCTGAGATATGTTCAGAATTGGGTCAGACGTTGAAGATGGGGAGAAGTAAAGTTTTGTTTATGGAGACATCTGCTCAAGTGAATCTATTATTATCTATCACGTGGCCATAGCTGTGACTTGAAGCCTCTGCTTCACAGGTGGGCTAAAGATTTTGTATGAATATAGCCACCCCAACTGGCGTCATGATATATTACTTCTGCTTCTTCTCTGTCAACCACTCTGGCCCCCATATTAGATGAGGACCCATCAGATTATGTAGCATATAGCACAGTAGAAAGAAATCTCTATACATGCTCTACTGATGTGTCCTAGAATAAATGGCAAATATAATGAAGCAAATTGTTTTTCATTAGTCTTATCAGAGTGACGATATATTCACTTGTTAGAAAAAAAACCTCGTCTATTTCTTGAGTATTATAAAGTGTATAACCATTTACATAGTCCAGTTTAAGAGATTGTTTATACTTTGTGTTAATGATTTTTTAAATTCTGAGTTACTGAGTTGGAAAGTTTAGTGCAAAATAATGTAATATATCATGCCAAATCAAAGGGCATGTATTTGCTGTTATCTGGGTCCTCCCCCGCTTCATTTATTGGGTTATTTCTGTTGGTACCCCATATTTACATAAACAGCAATGATGTTACTATTCTAGACACATGTCCTTGAGGATTCTTCATAATGGCTGATTTGAACTGAATTTAGGATGTGCATAACAAAAATTGTGTTTATTTATATTGCTGTCCCTCGTTCCCAGCAGTGTCTCACATATAAGTGGTCAAGAAGCGTTTGTAGATCTAGATTATGCTTGACTTTTGAGTCATTTACAATGAATAGTGACTTTTTGCAAACTTCTTGGACAACTTCCATTTCCCTTGATTACTGTTTACCATTAAAACAGTAAAATTTTGTGTGGCTGTATTTTTTCTATCAGAATGCATATAGCCTTCCTCCTTTTCCTTTGACCATCTGCATTTCTCACTATCTCTGTCATCTTGTACGTTGTCTAGGGTAGAGGTATAGGATACATGAGTCCCCTAAAGAAACTTTAATGCTGTGGATGTATGACAACCATATTTTGAAGTTACATTATTCTTCCAGCACAATATTGAATCATAAAATTTTAGAGCTTCAAGTGATATTAGTGATCATCCAGTACAACCATTTTACCAATGAGGACACTGGGGCCCAGAAAGAGATCATTTACCAGACTCTCACTGATGATTTTAAAATAAAGGACAATTTAAATGTAAATTTCTTATCTACATATGGTCTATTCACTGTCCTTCAGAAGCATGGATGGAAGTCTAAACAACTATAGTTTGTTACTCTTTGTAGCATTTGACAGGAATTGCTAAAAGGAAAGAGCCATTTTGGATGCACTTTTCTATTTTCCTTGTCCTTGGTTCATTTTGCCTTTGTTCTACAGTTGATTGATACAAAGAAATTCAAAAATTGATACTTTTTTTGAGAATAGTTATTGATTGGAACCCAGAGCTTGCTATATTTCTATTTCTCTCCTTTCTGTACTCTTAAATTCATGAGGAAAACCACCAAGACAAAATTATATGAGAAAAACATAATGTAGCTATATCTTGCTTAACATAATTTCTAGTTCCTAAAAATAAGTGCAATTAAAAAATATTTAAGTAGATTAGGGAATTTAGTACTGAGGAAATTTTCAGATGATTTGTAAGCACATAATATAAACAAGTTATAATATCTGTGTATCTATATCTTCAGTTATTGGTTTATTTAAATTGTAGTGTAATTGTAACACTTTCTTGCTGAAATTAGAACCATTTCTAACAAATTAAGCCAGAGGTCTAGTTCGACTTTGCTTTTAAATCTAAATTACATAATCTATACATGGTTGCACAAATTATCTTTAACATTTCGTGGAAATATTTCAGGCTACCTACTATTTCTTAGATAGCAGAGTAGGAAATGGAAGCAGAAATTCAATTCCATTATTTTATTAAGGATTTATTTTGCCTAGCTACGCAACAAGCAAATATAAATAAATAGAAAACAGAAAACATCAAAGATGCAGAGATAAGTCAAAAATACGGCTGTGTGTTTGGCGATACTGAGATGATGAGGCAGTGCAAGTCCTCTGTGCTGAGTGGGCAGGATGGTCACAACATCAAACATGCAGACAATTCTAGGTCCATACTAAATTGGTGAGTGAAATACGTCTTGTGTGTTTTCTAGGCATTTGCAGACTTGATGGATAAAGCGTCGTCCTCCTTTACAGGGCTCCTCCAGAAACATCCACTTCCTGAACCATGAAGACTTCTGTATGCTATGAGACCAGGCTGGGAATCTCCTGACCAGGACTATACAAGGATGCCTGAAATCTGGTCTCGTCAAGTCTTTCCTAGTCCAGAGGCAGTTAGTCCAGAGGTTCGTTAGACTTGCTAAAGTGAGCAAAGACACCTACCTCTCTAAATGGCTTATTTTCCCCCTCTAGGGGAATCAGAGGCTTTTAAACGTTATAGATGTTCAAAAATATTTGCAAATACTAATAATTTAATAATTGTTTCCTATGCTCTAGGCCCTGTGCTGGCCATTTTATATGTATTCTCTCATTTAATTCTCACAATGACCACCTGGGATAGGGGTTATTGTCAACATCTATATTTTGAGGAAAAGAAAATAAACTTAAAGAAGTTAAGTAAATTGTCTAATGTCACAAAGCTAGACAGCTCACTCCAACATTCAAGTTTGACAAGTCAGTTATTGAACCTGAGTTCAGCTGCCTTGTCTGTGATTGAGGTAGTGCCTTCCTTTTCCCCTTTCGAACTGTAAAACCTGAGTTACATAGGTCACAATCAACGACTAGAAGTGTCCGGAAACAGATCGCCTTAATCTGTGGATTCTCGTCCCTTTCTTCGCAAAATACAGGAATCCTTGCGTCCAGACCTTCCTTTTGAGCGCCGACTTTCCCT